TGTGGTTAAAATGTTCCCAGACACTATAAACATTACACGGAATGTTATTTTGTTGGTAGTTCTGCTTTGTCATTCTCTTTTTTTTATTTTTATTTTTCCCCTTTTTACGTGGTTTGTGGTCTTAAAGAATTCATTTGAAGGAGTTGGTAATTGTAGTGTGGAAAAAGTGCTGTTAAATATTTTTTCAGTAGAAATATATTTAGTAATTCTGTAGTTTATTTGGTAAAAATAGTTATACAAAATATTCTCCTGTAGAAATAATTATATTCAATAAAATAATTATAAATATTGAAGTAATTAAAACTTTTAGATCACATGTATGTATTTTATTATTCCAACTACTGCAGAAATTTTTTTTCAAAAGTTTTTCATTTTAATTTGCTATTAAACTCATAAAATTATTTCTTTTCATATTTATAAAATTACTTACAAAAGTATATAATTCATAATTAATAAAAATATTTTATTCTTTTTCGTTTTTTTTTTTGCAAATTATATAACTGTATCAGGTTTTTTGGTTGTTATTATGTCGTACTAGTTATGTAATTTGAATGTAACTCTTTTATTCAGAGAGATAACAACAACAATTATTTACGTTTTTAATTATTTGTAAAATTTGGGTTAATTTTAATTTGTTTTTCTTTTTAATTTAATATTTTTAATTTTCTTTAATTTATAATGTTATATAATTTGAATGTCTCTCTTTTATATAGAGAGATATAGGACCCGAGAGTTTACATCAACAAAAATTCTATTTTTTTAATTAATTGTAAATTTGCGTCAATTTTAATTTGTTTTTCTTTTAATTTAATATTTTTAATTTCCTGAATTTTATAATATACTTGAATTTTTTAATTTTTAATTTAATCCGGAAAGCAGGTTGAATCGAGAACGAAAGAAGATGGCCTAACTTAGTGGTTATGGGAAGAAAACACCATTTCCATCAGAACAAATAACTATCCGTGTGTTATAACGTATAACAGCTTGCTTGTAAATATACGTATATATGGTCAAATCCAGAAAAAGTAGTTGAAACAATAAGGAAAGAGGATGGCCTAACTTCTTGGTTTGGAAAGAAACGATTAAGCACGCCACGGCTACTCCATCACACCTACCTACTCGTCCCTCTCTCTATATAACCAGAAGCCATTCTTTAATCCCCCCCTTTCATCTTCTTCTTCATTTTTCTCTTCTGCAAGTAAAAATCTCTGCAATAGCCATGAATGTCAAGCTTCTGATTTTCTTCTGCTAACTTTTGCTTTTGGTTTTAACTCACGTCAAAGCCAAAGTACTTGCGACCCAGCAGAGACCACCCGCGATAGAGACGCAGCGGTGTAATGCAAAATTGGAGTCATATTCTCAATACACGTGGCCGGTGCAATCGGAGTTTGTCTCACTATTATCGACAAAACTATCACAGGTTTGCATCCAGAGAAGAACACATTCTTCATTATCAAGACTTTCGCTGCCGTCGTCTTTTTCTACGAGATTCATTCATATTCATCCCATGCTTTTGAGAAACTCCCATCTCTGTCCTTAAAAGGGACTGCATGGGAGTA